AATTATTACAAAAACACAAAATAAGTATAAATAAGTATTTACATTTGTGTAACCTTTGTTTTTAGGGTTATTAACAAAGTTTGTGTAYTCAGACCAGTAATATTTGGGGTCACAAGTTTTTGCCATGGATATTTTGTGGGTCAGAAGATAAAAAGTTTGGGAACCACTGAGCTGGAGAGTCCAGCCGAGTGGGAGACGGAAGCTGATCTGGGGTTGTTCCGGTAATCTTGATAAGATAAAAAGTTAAACTAAATATTTACTAATTCTCTTTTCCTCCTTTCTTAATCTAAACCTTGCCATAAGTTGAAATGCCTGTAAATTAAGTTTTTATAACATCCAAAACTTGTTTACTGTTTCATGTGTTCACTTTCTGAGTGTTTATTCACAATACTTCACATCAGACGTGAGGTGGTTTATTGTTAATATCTTATCTCATAAAGTTTTGATTATCAAGCTTTAATTGTACATAGTTAAGTTCATTTATCTGTAAATAAATAACTTTATTTTAGAAAATTGAACTGGACTGGAACTAACAAATTGTTGTCTTTTTCTCCCTTCCATTCTGAAAGGTATTGTCTTTCATAAAAGAACTTGTGTTTCCTCAGAAATTGAGAAGGTGTAGAACCTGGTGGACAAGGTTCTTACAGATTAAAGAAGTCCACATCTAAAATCTACAAACTGTGAAGGAGACCTTTTGTACCAAACAATTCAAGTTGTTGCTAAAAAGTATTTTGTGATGGATGAAAAAAAATGCAAATAAAATCTGAGAACCCAAAACTCGGTATGCTGTTATTACCTGTACAGTGATGTGCAAAAGTCTTGAGCTGCTTGTCTTTTTTCTTTTGTCAAACTTACTTTTTTCAGAGAGAGGTCTCATGCAAAAGTTTTCAACCAACACCTATATGATTAGATTAAAATAGATTATGATCAGGTCACGTTTTCAATCTTTTTAAACCAATTGATTTATTTAAAAACCAGCTAATAATTACWGTCATGTGAGCTGCATCAGATATTTAGGGTTTAAAAACAAAAATAAAACATGTGGTGTGTGAGCATGTGAGTTCCTTCCTCTGCACACACCCAGTAAAAATGAAACTATAATGAGAACAAAGTGCTAATTATCATTAGAAAATTMAATTAAATCTCRTTTTCTCCTGCTGCAACTCACATGAAAGGTTTGAAACTGTCAGATATTCCTCCTGATGCAAGCTGGTCCCAAATCTGAGGTCCCAGGACTAACCACTGAGCCACTGTAGCCACTAGGAATAAAAATTGATAAAAAGTCTAATGTGGAAACTTTATATAGTTACTAATTTATTAAACTATTGCAGTAGCACATATGCATAAGCACCCACACATCATACAGGCAGCTGTTTAAGATGTTCTGGTATTTGTTTGAGAAGTGACTTTGGTCATTGCAACATGGTGGCCCACGGGCCGTCAGTTGAATAGTCCTGCTGTAGATGCTTCGCAAATATAAAAATGATCAGAAATGATCGTTTTGAGCAGAAGCCATTGTGGGTGGAGTTAATAAACACGCATATGTTGGACTCTTAGTCTGTGTAGGTCAGATAAGACATTTGTGCCAAATTTCATCAGCTTTATGGATGTACAGGCTTGAAATAACAATTTTCAGTCATGTTTTCATCCTTTTGCCTACTGCTAGGTGGCATTTGCATAGAAAAAATAATATCATGAAATGATAGACCTTCATCAGAGCTAAAAAAATAAAAATAAAAATAAAATAATGAATCTCAAGTTCCTAAGTTGAATTGTTTTGAGATAAGCATTTTTGTATGTCCRGAAACCAGCTTTTCAAACAGTGCCCCCSACTTGAAATATGAGATTTACCTAATTTYATGCTGCTAGGTGCAGCCGTTTCTGTGCTACGGTTGACCAAACGCTTAACAGGAGTCATAATAATGTTAATGACTTTTCCATCTTGACTTGRGTTGTTCCRAACATTAATCAGCTGTAGAGGAGTGTCCAATGATTATTTACAAGAAATGAATTTAAAATCTGTCCAATGGTTTGCAAGAWATTTTGCTAATAGACTGAGCTGACTGCATGGCAACAACATTCAATATTTTAAATGAGCATATTTCACAGTATGTGTGTTGCTTCTGTGTGGTACGAGTGCAGGCTGTCAGGTGGTTTTTGCTGTGTCACTGTTTGGGTGGGGGGCTTTTGGAGGGACATAAATAAAACATATCAGATAACATAATGAGAGAAATTTCCTGTTTTTGTTGCAGGAGTGAGGAAATGGAAGCAAAACAAGGATGTCAGATTGAAAGTGAAAGTAAAACAGCTATAAAAGCAGCAGGTCCATCGAGTTTGCCTCACAGATCAGACTGAGGAGGAAACTTTTTCACTTCTGCTTCAAAGAAACAGAAAAACAAGCAAACATGAGTGAGTACTGTTGTTTAAAGCTTTAAATACATTTAGTTAATGCTGGATTTTTTTTGTTTATCAGAGATTTATAATAACTAAGTACATTTACTTGAGGATTTGTACTTTTACCAAGAATTTTTGAAAATCTTTACTTTCCCTTTTATTTTGTTACATTTCAAATTTAAAAACGATCCTTTTACTTTCTTTACAAAGTTAAATTTGTCTGATATGATGCCAACTAATTTCACTAGACCTATAGAGTAAACATGATGCAAATGTTCACATTTTATTTAAAGAAAATATATATATTGCTCAATTTAGTTATTTATTATTTATTTGTTTATTTAATCAGAACAGTGCACATTAATGAAGAATTTTATACTTCTGTATAAACTGTAAATGAGCCAGATTATAGCATTGGTGCTACAACATAACATGAGGTATTCAGGAAAGAAACACTACAACACAAGATCACAATAAACAACATCAAACAAAATCCAGACACATGTTCAGACAAATGACATTAAAACAATAAAATTATTCAATGATTACATGACTGAGAAATTTTAAGAAACTGTCAAGATGCTTTTTAAATATGTAATAATTGGGACTTTGTAAATTAAACAACTGTTTTTAAAATTGATAAAACTTTAAAAATTGAGCATATTATGTTTTCCTAAAATGTTACAGTGACGGAACGACAGGGGCTTTTGAGCAAAGGTTTTTAGATGTTAGATTTTTGGAGGGACATAAACAGAACATTTCATTAAGAAAACATAATGAGAGAAAGAGTTCCTGTTTTTTGTTGCATGACTGAGATTGAAAGTGAAAGTAAAACAGCTATAAAAGCAGCAGGTCCATCGAGTTTGCCTCACAGATCAGACTGAGGAGGAAACTTTTTCACTTCTGCTTCAAAGAAACAGAAAAACAAGCAAACATGAGTGAGTACTGTTGTTTAGTTAATGCTGGATATTTTATAGTTCTTTCGGAGATTTGTAGTAACTAAGTACATTTACTTGAGGATTTGTACTTTTACTAAGAAGTTTTGAAAATCTTTACTTTCCCTTTTATTTTGTTACATTTCAAACCTAAAAATGATACTTTTACTTTTTTTTTTACAAAATTAAATATGTCTGAACTCATCATGAAAGGAGTTAAATGCACTCTAAAAAATGTTGAATTTACTCAACCAGACAAGTCATGTCAACTGGTTTCACTAAACCTGAGTGAATATTGCTCAGTTACCCAACTTGGTTTAGTGAAATCTTTTTGGTTAAGTAATTTCAACAGTTTGTTTCTTGGAGGGTGTGTCCTTTCCTGAATTTTGTGAACAGTTTTATTACTAAATACTTTTCTCATCAGTGAAAATTAGTTTTACTAAAGTGATATGCTGCTGAGATACCGTTTGCTTTTACTTAGTAATTCTTTTCAAGTACTTTATAGACCTGTTCTTTAAAAATTAGTTTGATGAGCTTGAATTCATCATGTCAAACCTTTTTTTGTAGAAGTTTTCAAAAAAAAAGGGGAAATTTCTGTTAATTGTTATGAAAGTGTTGATGTTTTTAAAGTTGTTAATGACACCTAACATCCTGGAGTCTTTTAGGTCTGGGAAACATTGATAAGGTTGAAACTTCCGGAGCTTCACAGCAAACAGCCAAACAGGACAAACTGGGTGTTGTGGGTAAGAAATGCAGCTGATTCAACAGTTTTATCGTTTATTAAATAATTACCTGCAGTCCTGTTTCTATGAAGATTTTCTCACTGATTGTTTTAAACAGGAGTAGCTGCATCGGAGGCRATGGCTAAAACAGATGCTGGTAGGATGGGGAAATACAAAACAATCATCAACAACGTGGGAAGAAAACATGGGGTGGATCCGGCTCTCATTGCTGGCATCATCTCCAGAGAGTCCAGAGCAGGAAACACGCTGCAGAACGGTTGGGGGGACTGGAGTCCACAGAGGAATGCGTTCAACGCCTGGGGACTGATGCAGGTTCTGTCAAACGCCGTTTCACTCCACCAGAGCTACACCAAACACAAGATTTACCCAGCTTCTGTTCTGTGTTCTTCATAAGGTTGATGTTAATCCAAACGGAGGTGGACACACGAAACGGGGGGAGTGGAACAGCGAGGAGCACCTCAGCCAGGCCACCGAGATCCTTCTKTATTTCCAAGGTCGGATTCAGAAGAAGTTCCCTGGCTGGACCCCGGAGCAGCAGCTCAAAGGTTTGTTTCATTCAACACTTACTGTGTTTTAAAAAAAATCAGTTTTCCACAACCGTTTTCTCCTCTGTGTTTGTGTTTCTGCAGGAACGATAGCCGCCTACAACACAGGAGATGGAAGAGTCGACTCGTATGATAACGTGGATGCGAAGACAACAGGCAAAGACTACTCCAATGACGTTGTTGCCAGGGCTAAGTGGTACAAAAAGAATGGTTTCTGAAAGCAGCCGATAAACAAACAAGCACGTAAACAAAGCTAAACGTCGATAATGAAACATGTATGTTGTGTCCAAATAAATAAAACTCATTCCAAGCAAACATTGAAATTCTTCTTGAGTTTATTTCTACTTGTAGGGTCATAATTACTTGATCCCTTCTGATTTTCTAAGACTACAAATAAAGAAAGAAATAAACAGTATTAGATTGTAATGGAAGAACAAGCTGAGACTAGGAAGATTAGAAATAAAYTGACTGATCTGTGCGTCGTGTCGGCACAAAAACCAACCTGTGGAAGCCAGAAATCTGGTTTGGTTTCAGTAAAATTAAACAAACTTCAAACAAAARGTAAGAAAATTAGTGTTTGGTATATATATTTTTGTTGTAACAATGTTTCTTGGCAATAAATCTTACAGCAGACACCTGACTGGCAGCACCTGGGGGGGACCAGAAGCTCAAAACGAGTCAACAGCAACAGTAAAATAAGCTGTTTGGCAGAGAAGATGTGCACAACCCACAGACTCAGCTCTACTGTTCACCCCACAAATGCATGTTCCTGCACCATTTAAAAGAGAAATTACCAGGCTTTTTTAATGGTGTTCTGTAAGTCCTCCAATCAGGTTCCTGCCAAGTGTTGACTTCTGCCTCTGTCTGCTAAGATCACCTGGACCTGACCCCAGAACTACCAGAATCTTCCTTCATAAAATTTGTGTGCACTTTTTTATAAAGGTTTTTGCAGATGATGACTATGAACATGTAGTTTCTTGTTGATATTGTTTTATTTTTGTATTTTTATTCTATACATATGGACAAACACAGGGCTTAGAAATAAGTTAGGTCTGTGYCATCAAGGCTTCTCTGTAGAAACACCTGGACATGCTGAGTACTGAAGAAGCTCCTGCTCCAAAAGAGACATCTCCAAGAGCTCCAGTGAAAGCTGCAGCTGCCCATGTGGATGAGCCAAATGTCTTCTGGAGATGGTTTTATGGTTGGAAGAAACACAAAGTGACAAAAAATAGAAACAGTGTCGCTGCTACCAAGCACGGTGTTGGTGGCATCAAGCTGGACTAAACTTCACCTCGTGAGGGGTCCAGCGAGCCCAAAAACACATCAGAACTGGTTTCTGATTGGATAAATCAGGATAATGTCCCAAAGTTCTCAGTGGACTATGATTCAAATCAGAGTCAGCAGAAACCAACCGGTTTATAGAAACGGTACCAATTCCGCCAAAAGAGATGGTCAAACGTCCAGCTGGAATTACATCAGAAGTTTGTTGATGGCTATAAAAAAGATGCAACTTAAATGTTAGTTGTGTACTTATATACTTAACAATAGATATATAATTTTGCTCAAAGTGTGTTTTTTGTTGTTTTCTATGAGGAAAAAGGCCAACAGGGTTGACTTTTTGCGGGCGCTCAGCGGAAAGTGCAGTGATGCTGCTGGTGCTGCCGCAGGTCCACTTTGTGCTGGAAGCTGCAGGGGCAGCGGGGGCAGCGGTGGGCCCGGTCGTCTCTGTGTTTCCGGCCGTGAGTGATGAGGTTGGAGCTCTGACTGAACGCCTTGCCGCAGATCTGACACACGTGAGGCTTCTCCCCTGGCGAGCAGAAACAGGAACAGGGATCTAAAACGCAGCCTGATTCAGACGTGGCCAGAAGTGAAACACAGAATTCATTTCACAAAATGCAGCTGTAATCGAAACCCCGTCACTAGTGATAAATGAAAACATGAAGAAGACTGTAATGGCTTATCTGTCTTCTTGACTAAATGGTTAGAAGAGCAGAAGYTGCAGTATTGTTTTATCCAACTATATACATAGTTGGATAAACTTTACTGCATGAGACCATCAGGTTTTTCAGTGTCTCCAAAAAGATGAATATCTGTATTTTTTTTGTCTGTACACACTAAAATACAACTGTAGTTGGTGGAAGCTGATAAATTTTGACTTCCTGTTGCAAAAGAAGAGCTGCCAGCTAATCAGGGACAGAAAGCTGTGTGATAAAACAGTGGTTTTCAAAGTGGGGGCCGTGGCCTCCTGGAGGGCCATCAGGGGGCGCTAAGGGAGCTTCAGAAAGCTGACGGGAAGATTAAAAAGAAAATGCAAAAGCAAAAAACTAGACATGGGTTTTTACGATGTAAAAACAAGTGTGCATTGCCACGTAGCATGTCATTGCAGCATGGCTTTGCCTGCAGCATTGGACTTGCAGAATGACCTTTGAACAAGTTCAAATGTGGTTTCTATACCAGCTTGTGCCTGTCACATCAGCAGGTGTTTAGAATTAAGGTAATTGTGTGACAATATGAAGTTTGAAGAGATTTTTTCTTAAAGTTGCATTAGTCGGGTTTTGAACCCTGATCTCCCACATGAAAGCCCACAGTGCTCATCATGAGACTATATGAGATGTGGCAGAGGACAATCCCAGGGATTGGATGTATGTATACAGAAAAAGTTTACCTTGCCAATGCAATTATTGACACTTAAATGCAATATATTACAGCAATAGGACAACATAAAGACAGTATTACAGTAAAACATCAAAATACAATCATATTAATATTGTAATCACTGAACTACTGAGTTTAAATATTATGAAACTATGGTGCAGTATCATATTGTGTAGAGGCAGCAGGGGGCAGTATTGGACCAATACAAGGCTCCATTGACTGTCATTATAATTTATTAAACATTAATATTTCAAAAACTATAAGTTTTACAGGCACCAAAAGGCATAGCCATCATTTGGCACAGGGGCTTTACAGATATAAATTACAATGGCAGCTCTAGGACAAAGTATGCAGGAGGAGAAGCATGGCAAAGTTGAGATGACTTGGATGGGAAACAAATCACAATAGTGTGCATTGCCAATGCAATGCACACTGATAAATCCAATAAATCTTTTAATTTTTTACCATGAATTCAAACCTGTTTTTCACTCATTATCAGTGTGCATTGCCAATGCAATGCACACTATTGTGATTCGTTTCTCATCCAAGTAATCTCCACTTTGGCATACTTCTCCTCCTGCATACTTTGTCCTAGAGCTGCCATTGTAATTTATATTTGTAAAGCTCCTGTGCCAAATGATGGCTATGACCTTTAGTGCCTGTACAACTTATATTTTTGGAAATATTAATGTTTAATAATTTATACTGAGAGTCAATGGAGCCTTGTATTGGGCCAATACTGCCCCATGCTGTATCTACTCAGTACTGCACCATAGTTTAATAATATTTAATCTCAATGGTTCAGTGTTTACAATACTAATATGACTGTATTTTGATGTTTTACTATAATATTGTCCTAATATTGCTTTATTGTTGTAATATTTTTCAATTTAGTAACAACTGTTACATTGGCAATGTGGCCACTTTCTGCACACATACAAACCAAACCCTAGCATCATTCTCTACACAGCTCTAATGGTCTCATGGTTTGTGCCATGGGCTTTCATGTATGAGATCAGGGTTTGAAACCCAGCAACAGTAACTTTAACAGAAAATCTCTACAAACTTCATCTTGTCACACAATTACCCTTATTACAAACACCTGCTGACTTGACCAGCACAAGCTGGTATAGAAAACACATTTGAACTTGGTCACATTTCATTCTGCAAGTCCACTGCTGCAGGCAAAGACATGCTACAAGGCAATGCACACTTGTTTTTACATCATAAAAACCCATGTCTAGTTTTAAAATATATTTTCTAACAATATATTGAAATGTTCTTAAAGAGAGATGGGTAAAGTCCACTTTTTAAGCCAATAAATACATTGAGAGCTGAAAAGTCGGTGCATAGATATCGTTATATTCTGACTGGGTCAATATTTTTCAACCTGTTCAGTTTTCTCTATTTCCTATGACGTTTTCTGAACAATCATGTTAAATTATTTGTGACAGAACTGCCAAGGTCTGAACCTAACCACAGTTTGGTGGTCTTCATTCCCTTGTGGGTCAGACTCTGGCTCCAACATGTAAGGCTGTATAGACAAGTCTTCACTTCTTTTAATTAATTTGTAAATAAAAAGTTTCTGCGCCAATATGTAGTTGTAAATTCCTCTATCAAGCTAGCATGGACCACTCTGGAATCTGGAGGGGGGTAGTGTAGGAAGTTTCACATTTGGATTTTAAGAAACAGCCTCAAAAAGAGTTGATCGAGACATAGCAGAAAAGGGGTGAAAGAAGGGCTTGTGAAGTTTCAATAAGGAGGAATTCAGACCAAAGTATTGCAGTTCCACTTTATATGGACCCCAGTTGAATGATTTAAGTGTGGAACAATTGAATTAAAAGCAGGATGCAACCATGCACTGGACAAGAGGTGAGACACACCCCAGAGAGTTTCTACAGAAATGGTACAGATTCATGCTCACCCTTAGTGACAACTGTTTTTACAGGCAGGGCAAACTGATGGTTTAGGGAGCAGATCCACTACTGGAGTCAGGCAATTMAAATCCATTAAAACCTACCGGTGTGAATGAAGGTGTGTTTCTTCATGTCGGACTTCTGGTGGAACCTCTTGCCACAGTACTGGCAGGGGTAGGGCCGCGTGTCCGAGTGGATGAGCAGGTGGGTGGAGAGGGTGGAGGAGCGCTTGAACACTTTCCCACACACGGTGCAGCCGAACGTCTTCTCCTGGAGCAACAGGGAGGTTCGTATTCAAGGACAGGTGGAATGCCTCATGCTGTTGGTGATAACTGATTCAAATAAACCGACCTTGCTCCTGTACGGTGGCCGTTTGCTCACCGGCCCGCTGGACTTGAGCTGCTCTACAGACAGATGTGTTTTGTTTCTCTGGCTCTTACAGACGTGGGTCTTTAGACTCGACAGCGATGAAAATACCTGCATACAGATATAAGTTTTAGATAAATTGAATTATTTTACAGTAGTTAAATCCGTGGCGGTCTTTACTGGTGCTCAAAAGAAACYATTTACAAGTTAAATACAGTTTTTTAATCCTCATAAGATAAATTGTTTTATAAAGTGGATATTTCAGTCACATTGTTGTGAAGGTGTGCAAATGCTGTTTTTTGTTGTATTTTGGTATGCTTGTGTGGTGGAACTAATACTTTTTGTCTCTGTGTCTATAGTGTATAATAATGTGTTGTGATGTTGGATTTTGTGCGCCTTTTATGTTCTGCAGAACAGGAACCTGCTGTAAAACAGCAATTTTGCTGAGTCAGGCCTGATTTGTATAAATTTTTTTCCCGTTTTTAAAATCAATCAATCAATCAATCAATCAATCAATCAATCAATCAATCAATCAATCAATCAATCAATCAATCAATCAATCAATCAAGGCCCTTTGGACGGAGTCTTACTTTGTTGCAGACAACACACTCTTGTCTCAGGACGCCACAGGAGCCGCTCCTAGTGTCCCTCACAATCAACGGGGGAGTCAGGTCTCCAAGTCCCAGAGAGACTTTGTCTTTGAATCCTGAGCCGATGTGCGAGCTCAGCCACGCTGCCTGTGTGGAAGAGACAGATCCATCCTTCTCCACTTGGGTCAAAGTGTTGCAGAGCTCAGCAAGTCCTGCAGAGGGGGAAAAGAAATCCACTTTTCAGAACTCGTAACTTATGTAGCTACTTTTTCCAATGACTGTGGGGTAATCTGGCTTTGTTACTCACCTTTGGTTTCTTCACTGAAACATTGGAAGGGCCCGGTTGCATCAGAGCGACCAGAAGGTTCTGTTTGTGACAAAGGGATGGACGCCGGCTTTATAACTGGTGTTTCTGCTGCGGAGTACTGCAGGGATCCACCCCAGGACTCCACTTTTTGCTCCAGCTGGATGAACTCTACAGGGGTGGCTCCAGGACTGGGGCTTCTGGCTGAGGGCCGCAGGTAGTGCAGCCCCCCTCGCTTCACCAGGAAAGACCGAGGCATCGTTCAGCGTGGTGGAACACCTGATTCAAACTGGACTACACCATGAAAATAAATATAAATGTGCAGAGATGATTAATCTGACAGATTTAGAGTAATACACAGATCAGTTTAGTTTGACGTCTCATTAATCTTTTACAAACATCCGGCCAGCAGAGGGCAGCAGATCTGTCTCTGATGGATCCTGAGAGTCAGAAAACAGATAATATTTTGTTTGTGGTTCCAGCTTTTTCTGAGTGAACTGTAGAATCTGAACATTTGACTCAGTCGATTTATTTTTTCATTTGATGCGTACAGAACATGTCAATTTAATGTTTCATACTTTACAATGCATCCAAAACAACCAAATCTTCAAATCAGTATTTTAAGATAAAGACCTAGCATTCCTTGAAAGAATGCCTATCACCCTCCGCCCTTTATGCCAAATTTTAGAGTAAAATTTATGCTGGCATTATCCTGCCAGAACTCTCGCGCGAGCAAATTTAAATCCTATGCACGCCTTTCTCGCGAGAGTTATGGCAACTTAATGCCACCATAAAAAATAATTTTATAAGAAAAAATTTTGCAGTTTTGTTCAAATGCTGTAAATTTACTGGGACATCCTGGTGCCATAAAGGAGTTCTTGTGTCAAGGTTGAGCTACAGGACTGATGAGCTAATGGCTGGTCTGAGCACAGCAATGATGGATTTTAAAACTCCAGTATCCAAAACGTCACTGTCATCAATTTCACAATAACATGTAGTTCTTTCGGGCCTTTTATGGTTCAAATAGACTTTACATTCTATGTTGGTGTAAAAGTTTATAATAAAGTAAAGCAAAGTGAATTTTTTTATGTCATGCACCACAGGCGCTCAGCTCAAACGAGCTTACAAGACACAATAAAACACATTCCCACAGGCGGACAGACATAAACATTCTTTGTGTCTAGGTGCTTTTAACAGAAATTGCACTAACTAAAATACAAAATACTTAAATAAATACTAAATTTAAAAAATCTGAATAAACATCAATAACTTTACCAAATAATTAAATTCTCAAAATCAAATACAATAAAACAAAACGAGTACCCATTTTCAATTTCACCCAAATCAGTTGTCATAATCATGATTTTAATTAAAAGTGTTTTTAAAATGACAACAAAGTGACAAGACTATAAGTTGGGATTGTTGGAGACACATTTGTGTCTCATTATTGTAAAAAAAGTTTATTTTGCTATGAAGTTTCTTTGAATTCTCAAGATTTGCAAATCTGCATTCTCGGTCGTGCACATTATTCATCTTCCCACCGTCTACGACTGAATCAATCAGAACTAGTTTTTAAAAATAATCATTATTCATCGTCAGTTTTGGGTTTAGACCTGAATATTCAGGCCTGATCTCACAAAGAAAACTCCTTGCAGACGTCAGAATACAGATGTTCTTGGTTTATAGATTCTAATTTGAAACAATTTTAAGATTCCCATCAACGTTGCAACTATTTTGTAGCGATGGCCGACCCAAAAAAAAAAAAAAAAAACTCTGGTTTTGGTGCCACCCCAAGACTTTCAGAGGCCCCMTCATGACCACATCTTTAAAACACTTCCGGAGGCGCCACTGGATGCTCTGCTCTGATTATCAGTCCTAATAAAAAAAACAGGACTAAACAGTTTTATCCCCTCAGGAAAAAAAAAGCATAATTTGATTCAAGCACCACTTTGAATAAAAAAAATAGCTTTTCTTTTCCTGATCGCTAAGGGTCCTGCAAATGTCTAACACTTGAACTGAAACTCACACAAACTTTGACACGTCAGAATTGCAGCTGTGTCACTAAATGCAACACTTTATGACTCAGCTTCAGCTCATCACACTTGAAGAGGACAGGAGCTGTTAACAACTGTTAACGTCTGCAGACCGGGCCGCAATTTAAGAAATTCTCCATTGGAAGTCAGATGATCAAAGAAGAAATATAACATTAATACTCAAACTGAATTTGTTCCTTAATCCCTCAAAAATGACCCTTTCAAACTTTTTGACGATCCCTAAAATAATAAAGAAATATAAAAATGTAAACATTTCTCTGAAGGTTTTAAATAAGCAATATATTCCCAGTGTGTAAATCTTTTTTGTGCCACAAAATTGTGCCACATTTTACAGTTTATTGACTTCAGATTAGATCAAATTAAACTGATCTTTTTCAACTCAGRAGACAAAGAGAGTGAGAGAACCAAGAGCAAATAAAACTGAAAAACTTGACCGATTTTATGGTTTTATAATAACTTCCTTATCACTCGCTGTCAAAAAGTGAAGGCGAGTGATAAAGAAATATCTYATAAACTCAGGAATTTTAATGAAACTTTCAGACGGTCATTAATTAAAGTTAATCTACAACYGATTAACTTTTAAAGTAAAACTGATTGAAGACTCACAGCTATCTGATCCTTAAAAACCACAAAATACTTACAGATTTCGAGCTACAGCTTGGTGTAACAGATTTATTTACGAAACGCACTTCAAAGGCTTCTCGTGCATATTTGCCTAAAACTTTAGCATTATCACAGTGTTAGCAAAATATCTGGATTGAATTAAATGAAACTTTTCAGAAAGTCGTTACCGAATCTACAACTGAAGAACTTTGTGTCACTTTAATTCAAGATTAGAAAAATKATTCTAACTCAGACAACTTTRCAGATTAGATATTATTATTATTCGATTAGCTAGATAGCTAGACAGAGATAATTTTGAGTCAACCTAGTTTAAAATGTCCACCACAATTAATCATCAGGGAGTTTTTTTGGGGTGTGTGGTTGCAGCWGAGTCATCCACACAAACTCTGAGGGTGAACTTGTGCGCAAATTTATWTTCAGGTTTGACCAAAAYGGCAACAACTCCTCAACTGAACACAATTCATGTTTTAAACTCCGACTCTGAGAGGTGGCGGTCGACGTGCTTTTCTACAAGGAACGTTTAGCTTTTCATTTAAAACGTATTGACAGCTCACAGATGAATGGAGTTAATATCTCATTTGAAACAAACTTGGCTCAGAATGTAAGAACTCAACTGAACCTGCTGAAAACTGAGATTAATTAGTAGAAATCATCTTTTCATCACTTCACAAATGTCTGTTTCTTCACACAAGAAACGGATTCAGTTTTACAGGCCAGTTCCTGAGTCACAGTTTAAAAAAAAAACGAATTTTAACTAGTAACAATGAACCATTTTAGCTGCTTTAGTTTTTCAAGTTTAGGACTTTTTAAATCCAAAAATCACAGTTTTCAGTTTCAGGATTCGTTGAAGAGGATGAGCAGCGCAACCTGAACAGGATCTTGCCTGGACATCCTGTCAGGGGTTGCAGAAGAGTTGCTTTTAATGACAGTGATTTATTTCCACACTTTAGCAGGCAGATGGTGTCTAACAGAACTCAAGCTTTCTCTCAGCACCAAACTGCATCTGATCTGAGTCAGGATTTGTGTGAAAACCTTTAAAATGATCAGAGATCTTCCCTTCAGCATAAAGAGTAAATTATATCAGAAAACCRCCTGTAAGTCAAAGATTTGACTTCGTTTCATGGAGAATTGTGGGTCACATGAGGAAAACAGCATTTGAGTTTCATAGGGATTCGTATTTTTGATTCATCCAGCAGCATCTAACAGAAATAAAACACTCACCAGATCTCACATCCCACCAGAGCTGCTCAGCATCACTCAGACACTCTGTCCCTGTGTGTGACAGACAGGTTTATATAGTCAGAGGACACACACACACACACACACACACACACACACA